GATCTCCTACTTAAGAGGAAGGAGTAAGAATGGCATAAAATCGCAGGCTGTATTTCTCTTGCAAGATTAATTTGTATGTTTGTGAATACGCATAGGGCAGCTTCATTCATTTAAAAAATGTGTTGGAAAATATATGGAAATCACAAGGCCAAGTGTAGCACAAAGAGAATGAAAACGCATGTGAAAAATCAGATCTGGGAACCTGCACCACTATTTTTCAAGAATATTTCTGCACAGAAAATTTTCTGTTGTCCACAGCACATTCTAGACAAATTGCAAATAAGGGTAACTGAGGGAAGCACATGAATATTGAAAGCAATTCCTTCATTATGATTGTGGTACGGCTTGATAGCTAATACATGAATCCCTGCAATTTGCACTTGTACGAAAAAAAACAAGAGTGTGAGATTATTTTATTTTCCGAGAGAGTTCTACAATTATTAATTTCTATGGAAATCTTAGGATTTTTAATAGAAAGAAGACAGCCTGGCTTAGAGCTTTCATCAAGAGTCCTCGATAAACAGCTGTAGAATGAGTATGGAAATGGTGCAACGTTGGGACCCTGGGTGGCCTCCCTTCCGGTGCTAAGTTGCGGTGTGACCTCACCTTTCTGGTTTTAGTTGGCACATCTGTATAGACAGAAATTCTACTGCTACATAACAAGACTAGATCTTTCCCAGCTTAAACAAAAACAAAAAAAAGTCTTCTGGTTTTAGATATCACTCCTAAGGAAATACCAAATCACACATAAATCTTTCATTTTAGGCTTGATTTCCTTTAAACAACAGCAGACCCATAAATAGCCATGTTTTCTGAAAAACAGAAATGCCTCTCCTCCTCTTTTTTTATTTTTGAGTAAAGGAATAGTTTCTCAAGAAAGTTTCCACTGAACCCTCTTCAACTTCCAGAATTTAAAATAGGGACGGTGTAAGGAGGGACTTCTGTCTCATTGCTGTTGTTACTGAAGCACATTTTCAGTTAAAAAAATTCAGAAATCTGTGAAATGGTAAAACTCCTTTTACAACAAACCTGACAAAAAATACATGTGTCCTTCTTTATAAGGAAATTGGAAAAACTTTTTTCTATTGAATTTTGACCAGAAATCACAGCAAATGTTTTGAATATATTTTTTCTATATAACATACTTCGATTAAAAGATAATTATGACTGGAAAATTTATTTATTTTATTTTCCTAGGAAATAAATAGGAAATTTATCTTCCTATTATGTTTGCACTTTCATATCTCACTTCTCTTCCCTATAAATCACGCTGTTTCATTTAACATTACTTTTGTCACTTTGCATCTTAGAGTAAAATGTTTAAAATCTTAACTAACATTAGACAACATGGAGATTCTGATCTATATGGCATGTAGGCCTAGGTAACTATATTTTGTTTTCATCTTTTACGTTATTTAAGATATTTAATGGCATAAAATTAAGAGATATTCATAATAATCCAATGAGCTGTCTTCAACTTTTTATTGGCATATTTGGTTTTCAGGCCAATTTGAATATCATCTATGTGATTGGACACTCAAAAAGGTAGAAGGTATCAAAAGTTAAAAATGTGCAAAGAACCACACAAAAAAAGGGAGAAGGCAAGTGATTTCTCTTCACTTTTAGAAATTTCTCAATGTTAACATTATTTTTAGTGCACCACTCAGGGGTCAGCCATGGTACTCATTACCTTAAAAATCTCATACGGTTAATCGTGGATAATAAAAGATCAAACTCTCAGCACACTTTGGGGCAGATGCAGGACCAAGCACAGACACTCCACATGTGCAACCCCCGGTTTTTATAAACAAGCAAACAAACCAAAAAACAAAACAAAACAAAAAACCCCAGCGGAAAAGGTAGAGAAAGAAATTCTTGTAAAGTCCTCCCGAAATCCAGAATTTTCAAGTTAATTAAATGCAGTTCGAGAAACTGCTAGAGAACAACCCCCATGCACTTTTCTGGACTCTACTTTCCAGCTTTACTCATTGGTTCTTAGAGCAGGCATGCAGGCGAATATAATCTACCCTTAGCTGCACCGAAACGAGTGTTCAGTACATTCATCGGCTTATTAATGAGCACATTGAAGAATAGGTACAAGGCCACCTACCATTGTCACTGTCTCCTTCAGATGGAACACTGTAGCTAGAGCTGTCCCATGTTTGTGCCTGTGTAAGTTTGTTGAAGGAGATAGGAGGAAGAGTGAGGGCTGGGTCTGCAGGAGAGCAAGAGAGCCGGTCCGCGTACAGTTGGACAAGGACCAGGAAAAACCAAAGGGGCAGCAGCATTTCACAAATGGCATAAGGTTTGTATGGAAATGAAGCGAATTTCGTATTATGGGATTTCAATTCAAATGTACAATATAGGAGAAGAATGAAAGATGGCGCATGAAATAAAAAGAATGATAAAAACCGAGTGTTAGTACTTATCAATCATATACTTTGCATGCAGTTAATATCGTTAATCTTAACAGTTCTGCAAGCCCACAGACTCAGAGTCCTCATGATTCATGTCAGCAGAAAGGAAGAGTACCCACAGATAACATAGATACAAAGCGGAAGACCTACCAGACACCTTTTTCAAAAACCTTCTAAGTAACTAACAATCATAGCAAATACGATTCACACAAAAAATGTGGTTACGTAGACAAAGCTTAATATGTGCAAATACATCTGTTATATAGAAATGAGACTATTACAGAATCAGTGTTTACCATTTGTCAATTTTTTTTTCCATGTCAATGCAAAATTTCTATTTAAAGGCTACTGGCATGCTTTATTGATAGCTCTAACTAGCCAAAACTCTGCTCAACCCTAGACACAGATACCTCTCCATGCTGTCTTTGGTACTGATCAGTAGAAGAACAATTTTTGATACTAACAGAGTCTTTTGAACAAATCTAATTCACCAATAGATGTCAATCATTTTCAAGCACTTCTGAGTTAGGAATGAATATTCGAATATGTACAGTTCTCTCTCTTTGGAGGAGAACACAGAAGAGAAAAAAATTTTCTTCTGAAGAAAACTATTAATCTACTTAAAAATCTAAGTTCTTATTCCAACGTGCTGATTTGAGCAGTCTGTTCTTATTTATAACACAGAAATCACATAAATCCATATACTTAACTTTAAAAGAAAAATCAGTTGGCATTTAAAAGTTCCAAAGCTAATCAGATAGAAATTCTTTTTAAATCATATGATGTTTAATTAAGATTGCTATATATTATTTTTTTTAGAAAATGTGAAAAGTACACACTGAAATATGTTTAAATGACTAAATAAAATGAAAAAAATCCCCAATATATAATGCAGTTTTATAAAATTCCAACATGCCACTTGATGTTCCTGAAGATAAATCAGCATTATTTACAGCAACCAAATTTCACAAAGCTTTCAACAACTAGAACAATTTCCACAGTGGTTAGTCTGCATGATAGAAAGGTTGGAAGTTTGGAGAGGAAATCATCTTTGTTTTCTGCTATTCAAAATAAATGCCCATTTCTTTTTCACCATGATGATGAATTTGAAGTGGTTAAGCAGTATGAGTACAATATTGATAAGCTGAGTTTGGACTCCACAAAAGAGAGAAAAAGAAATCACCGAGACAACTTTATACCTAAACTGTAAAGATGCACATTCAAAAGAATATTGTTCTTTGGAGATTCATTCAACTTTTGATTGCTCAAAGATTAAATATATTTAAAATTCCTTAAAACTACGTGTAAGGATTAGAAGCAAGTCTGTAGCCCAGTCTGTGGTCCTGAATGCACAGAGCTAACTCTCCTGGCAGGCCGGCACTGAAGGCATAGAGGAGAGGTGCCCACCAGATCATCTCTCCCAGCACACACCTGAGACCCTGGGGAAATGGAAGCCCAGCCCAGATCTGACTGCATATGCTCGATGCCATAAATGAGGAGGCCAGTCATTTGAGCCTTATTTCACACACAGTTTGGCTTTCCATAAAACACCTACTAACCTTTGCCGTACCTTAGCATTTTCTCAAATAGCTTTGCCTTATAGCCAGCCTATCCAGGATGTCAGGAAACCATTATACCAGGCTACATGTTACCCATCCATCAACTTGCTCCTCAAACAAAAAAGTTATCTTCATGAAGGAACTACATTTGGGTTTTTTATAGGTACCTGTTTATGAACTATATCCACGTATAACTTCAACTCTTGCCAAGATGCTTTACTGAAAAATCCAAGAATATCTAAGTTCTTTACTAGATTTTTGCTTAAACGTGGTCTGTGTCCTTTCTTAGCACTTACTTAAAAGCATGAAGAGTCGTGAATGCATGCAAAGATCCAAAAGTATTAAAACAAAAAAGGACCTAAAAGAAGGTAGATCTGGCCAGAACTGTAGTGGAGAAATCAGAAGAACCGAATTTTTCTATGCATCGTCCTTCTTTTTAAAACCAATAGTTAGTTTTCACATGGCTGTAATTTACATCTGTGACTATACTAACAATAAATTAAAAGAGAAATCGCTAATAGAAAGGGTAATAAGAGAAATGGGTAATAGAAAGGCTCTTTTAATGAAATGGCTCCTGACCACTCATGTGAGTCCTGAAATGATAGCCCTGTTGTCGGAGGAAATGCATAACCTTAGGAGGGTTAGAAAGCCGACAAGGGATATTCGAGAAGAATCACCCTGTGGGAGGCTGCTCTTGAGCTCAGCAGCTTACCGGGAACCACTGGTAAAAAACTCCTTGGACTATTTCTTCCCCACTTGCAGGTCCCATGACCTTTTCTCTTTGCTTGGACTGAAAAGGAGGGAAGATGTCTACGACTGATAACGTGGGCGGAACGGGCGATTCACTGGGAAACAAGGCTCCAAAGTCTGGCCTCCCCATGTGGTGGCAGAGCCCTGAGGCCCAGACACAGTGTCCACCAGGGTGCATCCACAGGGCTGCTCACGCTCACACACACACATGTAGGAGGCTAAAGAGAAACCACGGAGTGTTTACAAGTGTCAGGACGCTGAGGTCTTAATTTACCTGATCGAGGTTTCAGGCCAAACGGAGCGGTGCTGTTGGTGGTGGGAGGGATGGCAGGCGAGTTCGCTCTCATCTGCGGAATCAGAAGGAAAGGAGGCTTTTGAAAGACGAGCAACGGAAACAGAACTACACATGCTTTTCTACGTTCCAGGATTACAGGGACACCACTAACTTTTTGACCGGCTGCTGTGTGACGAAGCCCCTGACTGAAAAAAATAGGGTGACTGGGGAGAGGCTGCCTGGGGGGGAGAGCCCGTCAATTTTTATTTGCCCAATAAAAAATATTCTATAACCATGTGACACGGGCGATCCTTTTCTGCTCCAGAAGAGACGTGTGCATGTGCACACAGACACAGGCACACACTCACGTCCCCCTCACAGCGGGCCCAGCTGATGAAGAATGTCATGACACAATAGGGGAGGAACACAGGTCACACCGACCAGTTTCACCTAGAGGGACACCACACACTCTACCACTGATGGGTAACAGGACATCCGAAACCTTGTCTATTTAAGCCATCGCTCTGTTTTCTATAAAGATGCTGCCATATTTGGTTTTCAAAATATATCTTATAAAGTCAATCTTCCATTATGGATAGGGCCAGATAAGACTATGATAGCTAAGGAGAGACACTCCCGCAGAGAATTGGCAATGCAATTCACTCATGAATCAGGACAATCTGATTATTTCTGTAAAAGATATTCCAATTCGGCCTTCACAAACTACCTCAGCTTGCAGGAATCTTCAGGAAACTTACCTCATTTGGAGAATACTCGCTGCCATTGCTCTGTAAAGTGAGATCATTTTGCACCTTCAAGGAAAAATAATGCATGGAGTATTCCATTAGACCATAAAGTTATTGAGACAGGAACAGCATCCATCTGACTTCCCTCATATCCCTGGCAGCTGGGCACTCCATGAATATACACTGAATTAATTAATTAGTGTGTTAAGTAGTTAAGTGGATCACACTGACATTTATGCAGCTGTGTGCACACTCAAAAAAATACATCTAAAGTATCACACAAACTAGAAAAGGATCTCCCAGGGCAGAGAGCTCAGTCCAAAGTACCTGTAAACATAACCTGACTTGCTAGATTCCCAAGCCATGTGAGGGCTCCCGTTTCCTCATTTGAACTACAGGTTTTTAGAAATGGTCCAAGGCAGTATTTCCCAAATACACAGAATCTCATTGGAAGCTTTTAATTTTTTAGGACTTTATTTATTATTTTAGAGAGGAGAGAGACCAAGCTTGGTGTGCTTGAGCATGGGGCGGGGCAGAGGAGAAGGGAGAGAATCTTGAGCAGATCCCAAGCTGAGCACAGAGCCTGATGGGGGTGGGGGTCGATCTCAGGACCCGAAGATCATGAGCTGAGCTGAAACGGAGAGTTGGGGGTTTAACCAACTGAGCCACCCAGGCACCCCTCATCGGGGGCTTTTAATAAATATACACGCCTACACTCCAAATTACCTGAGACAATCTTATGTTATCATTCGACACCAGCTTGCTTTGGCAACCAGTGAGGAAACTCTAGGTTATTTCACTCAGATCAGCCTTCTTTATATGGTCATCACGGAACCCACTGATTACCCTAGTAAAAAAACCTGCTGAGGGGCGCCTGGGTGGTTCGGTAGGTTAAAGCCTCTGCCTTCGGCTTGGGTCATGATCCCAGGGTCCTGGGATGGAGCCCTGCATCGGGCTCTCTGCTCAGCGGGGAGCCTGCTTCCTCCTCTCTCTCTCTCCCTGCCTCTCTGCCTACTTGTAGATCTCTGTCAAATAAATAAATAAAATCTTTAAAAAACAAAAAAACCTGCTGATAGCTAGTATAAACATCTTCATTTATAGTACACCAAATAAGTATAAATTTAAAATGGCTGCTCCTATTCCTATGCCTGAGAAGTGCTATTTAAAAAATACTCCAAATTTTGACACATCCAAAGGAAAAACATATTTTTAGAATAAAATGTCATTAATTTCCCTATTCGGTGAAATGGCTTTGTTAGAAATACGAACAAGTACCTGCAGGTTCAATTCTCTCTATTAAGCAATTCCTTCCGCTAATTTTTTCTTGTTGTCCTCCCAACACCTTCCCCAATTTGATATTATTTATGGAGGAGGCTATAATTTGCAGTTCTTTCCTGAATGGATGCCAGTGCTACCCAAACTTGATACAGACCATCATCTCAAGTATATTGAAAGTCAGACATTGTGATGTAGAAACCATCTCGGCCCTACCTATGGTACTAGGGAGGGCCGCAGTTCACACCCTTTCTTGGGTGTGTCTGGCGGGCTCCCACACTGTGCTGATTCTGCCACAGCTGCGTGCTGGGACACTTCCAAATCCAAACAACCCCCCAAATCTAGGTTTACTTCCATCTCTCTAAACCACCTCTTCCCCAGTCTCCCAGAGTACCTAAAATACTCAGGATCACAGACCACCTCAAATTCTTTCAATTTTTTCAATATCCAAGTCTTCTTCTCTCCACACTTTTAAAGACATCTTTAAAGTAAGGACAACTTCATATCCTTCATAGCCCGGTCCCTGACACCCAAAACAAGACCAAACCCAACATAAGTACTCAACAAAACTGGCTAATTGATTCAAGACTTATGCTAAAGTTATTGCTTTCTTCCTGAATGAGACAGAAAAGAAAATATAAAAATAACCAAATCATAAATGAGGACCACATTTAGATTCTGTATAATCATTAGCACTGGCCTTGCTAATCCACTACTTTCTCTTCCTCCTCCTGTGACTTCCAGGGCCCGCTATCTGATCTCTTCTTTTTAAAATCATTGAGATGGGCCTATCATGGACAGACAAATGCCCTAGACAAGGAAGACATTGAGTAAGAATTTCCTACACCAAATAGGAGTCCTCATCCAACCAAAAAGAAAAAAAAAAACTGACGTATATTAATACAAAACATGACAAATCAGAGATGGAGCGGAGGTATCTTTTTTCTAGAGGATCTGCATCTTAAATCAATACTCCTGAAGTCATGCACCCAGGTGGACATCTGTTTTACTAGAGTCAAAAATGGGTCTGCAGCAGGACCCTAACCAGTCCTAAAGTACCTCTTCATTGACTGTTTATGGGTTGCAATGGAAAAACAGAACAATGATTACACAGTGGACAAATCAAGTGACACAAGGAATGGGCAATCAAATTAACATCACCAATCAGGTCCATTTCCAGACACGCGTGACACCCTGAAAAGGACACAATTTCACTTGTGCAGTGTTCCAATCAAGAACACAGAATCTCAACTCAGCACGAGGAAATATGAGGGACTTTTGTCTCACAAAATAAGGGGCATGCCATTCAAAAAGAGAAGAGCTATATTTTTAAAAATTTCAAGGTGGTAAAAACCAAAAGAAGGTTACAGAAATGTTCCAGAATAAAGGAAACTATAGATACCTCCTAACTAGATACAATGCCTGCCACTAGACTGGATCCTCCATGGGAGAAGAAAAAAAAATACCGTGAAGAACATCATGAGATCAACCAAACAATTTGGAATATGAATGGTAGATTAGATGAAAATAGCTTATCAATGCAAATTTCTGAATTTGATATCTGCAATGTAGTTATGTAAAATAAAAGCTCTACTCTTAGAATACACACAGTGAAATATTTAGGGAGAAAAAGGACTATGATGAATGAAAGCCTCAGATGTTTCAGAAAAAGAACTTGTGTGGAGAAAGAGAGAGAAGACACCATACCACAAATGCAGTAAAACATTAATAATAGGTCACTCCGGGTGAAAGGATGCAATTTTTGTAATCTTTTGTAGAATCTTTCAAATTTTCCTCCTATTTTTCTAAGTTTAAAATGATTTCCAAATAAGAAGCTTAAAATAAAAAGTGGGTCAATTATAATCAATCAACAGTCAAAAAGTGGGGCCATACAGAATCACAAGAAGCCTGCTTCAAAGGAGAGCCTGAGGTAATGGGCCGGGGACCGGGGCAGCCTTCACAGAAAAGTCTTCCTGATGTTCCAGGACTGGGTAATTCAGGACTGGGCAATTCAGTGATGCTTCCACCAGTGAAGACACAGTAGAGTAATTCTGGCTGAGGAGCCCACCAATAATAACAGAGTGGTAGAGTGAGAGTCATAGCTAACATCTAGGAGCCCCTGGTTATGAGACTGTTCCCAATTTACAGAAAATGAAGGTGAGGTGTAGAGAGGTTGCCCATAGTTAGAAGTCTTTGAGGTGGGATTAAATCTCAACATAATTCTAAGTCATGGCACTCGACAATGAAACCATAGTGGTTCTCTCTCATCTTGTTTAACACAGAGACTTAGCCAGTTAAGAGTGTGAAACCGCTTCACTACACTTCACTTAAGGTGTAGACATAAGGTGAAGACACACCTCAGGGACATAAATTGGTGTGTCCCGAATTTAGCCATCCCAAACCCACTCACTATGGCGGGATGAATTATGGTGTCACGTAAATGTCCCTCCCAAGCCACTGGCTCAAACCTATCTTTACAACTGTTTCTCTGGAACCTTCGAGGCTCATCTCTAGTTTTATGCCAAAACTGCTTTCAATAGCCACCAAAATTCCACCTAGTGTAATGTCACCCTTACTTTGTCCCCACATAATCCCACCAGGTTTCTCTGCCAAAGTTCTCCTAATTCTCCCAGGCGCTTCCCAAATCATTTGTTCTTGCCTCTCATGTCTTTTCTAGCTTATTTCCACCAGGCCACTTCTTAGGCTTCATTCTTGGCTCTAAAATATACACTGAGTTGTCCTACATCTTTCTGAAGCAGCAGGTTCCCTAGCTATCTTAGTTGCTACTGTCTGGCTTGGCAGGACTATCTGACTCCCAGAATTGAGAGAATTTAATGGGAAGAGCAAACTCTTATCTTTAATGAAAGATGAAATAGGATAGGCAGGAAAACTAAATAAGGTAAAAATTTAAAACACATGAAAAAACAGACCATGAACAAAATTGAATATTAGTCTCCCATGAACAAAATTGAATATTAGTCTCAGTAATGAATGTTCTGCCCTATAATCAATCTTTTATAGACTATGGTAGCCACTATTCTGTGGCAGAATACTGCACAGAGTTCTGGTTAATCCAAGAGCGGCCTTACCTCGCAAACCGGAGAGGTCTCCAGCTGTATTTGACCACTGTAGGAATAAAGAAAATAACAAAAAGTAGAATTTAAAGCATACATATGTCAATGTAGAAAGAGAAAATATATTCGGTTATAAGAAGGTCAACATACTTTAGTGCAGAATCTTGTAAGTCTAAGGCTTCTGCTGATTCCATAGGATAAAAGTTTACAACATTTCTCTCTGTAATATTGGTGCTTAATCTAAAGAGAAGGGGGAAGAAGATGTTAGCAAATTTATTAAACTCTTCATATGTTCTATGATTTTAATAAATCCAGTGTTTTGGGTCATATTTAGTTTGTTGTTTTAGTATATTAAAAAGTTATATTTATCATTAAATTAAGTAAGCAAAGATTTATGGTAGAACTTTCAAACCACATGGTATTTTCCCACCTACCACGGGCCAGATTTTATACAATTTTAATTTTCAGTCTGTTATTGGTATTGAAATCTAACTTACTTGCAATATAACAGTAATTTCTGCTAAAGTCATAATATTCATAGATAGCAATGCTGAGTTCTATTCTAGAAATTGATGAATTTATAGAAGCATATAAAATTGCTAAGAGTACTATATGTACCAAGAGCATTTTGTTTCAATGGGAAGATATCTCTGACATACATGAATACTCTCACTACAAAAATTAAAATTCATAAGCTATTAGATATGCAATTTTATTTGTGAAATTGTCTTACATACAGATAGTTTCTCAATTTCTGCAATTTTGAGTTGAATTCTTTCTAAGATCTGTAAAACCAGGAATTGCTGAGTCATATAAAAGTTACAAGGCTATCTTTAAGAAGAGATGAGTCACATTATATATGCTTACTGAAAATGCTATCAAACAAATAATCAGAAATCCTTAAGAAAAGAAACCAAGATAAAGGCAAAATACGGTACCAATATTCAACTAGATTTTCTGATGTTAAGGTTGTATGAAAGGTTAATCCTATAATCAGCCGCTTAATCCAAACAAAAAGTTTGGATTATGAAATATGAGATAAAGGAAAAACCCAATATGCATGTAAAGTTTTTATTATTAATAGTCAGTCTCAAGCAGCTAGAAATAAATGACCTCTTGAAGGGCTCTCTCTTTATAAAAACAAACACAAGACTCTTTTTTAATTACCATTATACTGGCTCACAGAAACATTATTATACATTAGAACTGTCCTATTGTGATAATTATTTCAGGATGAACAACAAAGATAAAAAGCAGCCAAAGGAGTGGATAATTTTAGGAAGGAAATGAAATCCATACAAAGGTTTATGTGTTTTAAAATGACACTCCATAAAGATGTAAATCAATTAGCTCTTGGAAGTTTACTCAGGGCTCTTTTCTCCCACAATTCAAGCACACACCCACCATTCCGACTTGCTGGACATTCTTGGCAACTCATTGCCTCAAATGTTTCCAAACTGGAGAGGAATCTCGAGGTCCTCAGTTCATCCCACTTCTCATGAAGGAAGATGAAACTAAGGCACAGAGCTGGGAACACTCCTCCAGGTCCCTAGGATTTTTACTACTGGGCTCCAGTTCCACATTCCCAAGCCACTTCTATTTCCACCAAACTAGGCTGTTCTTTTTCCCTTTGGGGTTCATGTATTAATCAATCTCAAATTTGAAAGAAAAGTGTATTGGAGGAGTGATACAAAATATAAAAGGTGGAAGTATTAAAACAGTATGAAGTTTGAAAGCCCCAATTGTGGCCTTCTCTGTGTCACATCATGTCTTCAAGGCTCGTTCCTGGACTCATGCTCCCTCCCCATCAATACACTTGGCCTTGGGACTCTCATCCTCCTTAGAAGGCTCTGTTACTGCAGCAGAATATGAAAAATGACTTTTTTTTTTTTTTTTTAAGATTTTGTTTATTTGAGAAAGAGAGAGCATGAGAGAAAGAACACAAGCAAGGGGCACCGGGAATGGGAGAGGGAGAAGGAGGCTCCCTGATGAGGAGAGAGCCCGATGTGGGGCTCGATCCCAAGACCCTGAGATCATGACCTGAGCCAAAGGCAGAGGCTTAACCCACTGAGCCACCCAGGCAACCCTGAAAATGACTTTCAAACCTAAGTCTAGAAGCCCCAGAACTGAACACCTAGCAGCAGGGTGGACGTTGCCATCTTGGATTTTTTTTCAGTGCGTCCTACGCTGACCCCAACATCCTCCTCTTCAAACCTGCTGCCCCTCCTTGTTCCCCACCTTAGGTAATGAGAAGGGGCTCAGATCTAAACACTTTGGACAGTTCCTTCCACTGTTCTCACCACCCATTTCAAGTGATCACCAAAGAACTACAACACTACCTACCACTGAGTATCTCCAATTTATAAAATCTAAAGAAAAATATTAATTTAGAAATACCTACAGAAAAAACACCCACTATAATATATTTCCTTCCAGTTTTAACTTTTTTTTCTAGGTTTCTGATGTGACTGAGACCCAATTCTGTCTCTATAATTAGGATCAAACCTTTGCATTTTATATACTTTTTGAAGGGAACATTATAAAATGAGCATTCTAAAATACACTGGAAACTTAAAAAAAATTGTATCAGCCACATTATGGTCCATCTTATTAATTAATACTTATACTTAGTTATCTCCAAACTATTGGATTATTTCCTTTTTCCCAAATATTTTCTATAAAAACACCTTCCCCTTCACAATTTTTGTTCATATCTCTTTATCTCTCAGGATAAATTTTTAGAATCTATTCAGAATGTTTATATATTTTATAGGCTATGGCCACATACTACTAGGATGTCTTCTAGAATGGTTTTGCCAATTTACCTTCCTACTAATTTAGGTATTATTTTATTAATATTTTAACATAAATTATTAAAATAATTTAGATATTATTTCAAATCCTCACCATCCTAAAAGGCTAAGTACTTGGACCCTATCTTCTAGATGAGGAAACAGGCATTCAGAGTAGTTCTCTCTTACCCAGACTAACGGTGTGGGAGCAGAGTTCAGAACCAGTGGCTGGCAGATCCCAAGTCTGTTCTTCTTCCCAGATAGTCTGCTTCCCCATTCTTTATAATTTCATGTAAATACACAATACACACACACTCTCTTGTCCCTGTTTCCTCTCGTTGACTGCCCTGGTTTAGGATGTGACGCTCACCTCTTTCAGGAGTACACCTCCATTAGGCATTCACTAATAAGCTAAGCTCTGAGCCAAACATTAGGGACAACTGGCAACATGGAAGAGTCATATTTGGAAACCACCACTACCTCCCTCTACATATAAAATAAGGTCTGGGCTCCTCAACCCAGCATTCAAAGGCACCCCCAGCACCCCCCGCTGCCCTGCTGTGGAGTCTCAGTCCTGGCTATCCATCAGAAACACTGGCAGTATTTTTGAAAAGTGCAACAGTCAGGCCCCAGCCTCACAGGTGGAGTTGGGTGTCTGGGTTTTGAATGTTCCACAAGCAGTACTGAAGCATAGGGAAGGCAGAGATCATCACTACCCAAACCGTTCCAAGCCCTCTGCACTCCCTGTTGACCTCTGTGCCTTTGCCTAAGCCTTTAATTCAATCCAGGATTTGCCTTCTCCTTGAAAGGGCCAGTTATTAAAGGCCTAGATGAACTATCCCAGGCTTCATGGAGGCCAGCCCAACCACCTCTCCGTTTCCATCTGGGGCCAGGCCTTCACTTCCAGCACTTAAATCTATTCCACTTAAAAATAACTACTCAAGGCAATCTCTACCACCGTTTAAGTTCTTAGAAGGCAAGAGCTGTGTCTTGTTCATCTTCTTATCCCCCAAGGTGCATGCGGTAGATCTTCCCAAGCTCTAAGCACCCAACTAATATCTGCAAAACCGAAATGCCTTTCAAATCAATTGCTGAAGGTTTCCAACCACACAAACTGACCCGTCACTCTTAGGGTCAGCCGATGTTGGTGGTGACCCATCACTAGCACTCTGGGACGCACGAACCACCATCTTCATAAATTCGCAAAATGTGGTGTGGTTTCCGTATTCAACATATTCGAAGACCACATCATCTTTTCATCTGAATCCCCGGCACCCCTAAACAGTTTACCAGGAATAAGCTTGGGATACATTTCTCTAGTGATAAAGTAGTTAGGACCTGACACCAGGTATATGGTCTTACTGAAAAATATTTTGTCCGTGGGAATGCCATAATCCTTCGAGAAGAAACCAAAAACTGTACCTACCGTGTATAGTGTCTGTTACTGACAATGGCCAATTCAATTATAAAATTATCTTGTGATCCAAATCTTCAGAAATATATTATTTAATTAACATATATTTAGCATCTCAGAAACCAACATAATAGTACCCGAAAAACCAATTCTTTTTTTTTTTTTGGAAAATCTCCCTGATATTTCTCTAAGTCGGGAGTTAAATTTTAAGCCGTATCAAATATGCACTTTTATCGTATTTCTGTTTTCTAAGAATTATACCAAAAACTCCCATATGAATTTCATGAAGGTGCCTAAATTTCATTAAGGAGTAGCAAAAGGGGGAAATGATCACCATCACTCCAGAACTCTTTTATTTACGGATCTTGTGAGAACTCCTCTTTTTTTGGTGGTTAGACTGAGCTCAAACGGCGTGAGATAACGTACGTAATAAATTAGCACGCATTATTTACACATGAAGACTGGCCCCCAGGAAAGACGCCCGTACCTGTTGGGATCTTGCAGCAAATCTACTGCTTCTCTCAATTGTTCAATCATTGCTATATTCATGTCCTGGTCTTTGGACGAATTTACTCTGCAGCATGAACCGAGAGATAAGAACAAAAAGGATTACTGGAACGTAGCTATTGTCCAGATTCTTAAGAACAAATGTATAAAAAGCCAACTCACATATAAAAATGATTTTGACCAGCTCAACACGATAAGGAACACGTGTCAGTCCCCTGTGGAGTGGACTGCCAGAAGGAAGCAGAGGTGGAGCTTCTGGGTGGGGGAAGCCCAGCTTTGCTACAATCCAGCAGGTCACACAAAGTCAATGCCACGGGCCTGCCTCTGCTCCTCTATAAAACCAAGGCAATGGTCCCACCGGGTGGTTCTCACACTGAGCTTTCCTGAGCCCCGGGAGTGGGGGGGATGCACAGGGTACCCAGCTGCAGCAAGTCTGCACCACTTCTGGGTCTTCCAGCTCCGGAGCAACCAGTATGCCTGGTTTTGTTGCTTTCATACAATACAGGACTTCGCTGGGGGTTAGTTGTTCTCAGTGCGGGTTTTTTATGCAGCAAAATCATCTGTGGCACTTAAAAAAAAAAATGCCAAGCTGGATACTGGGGCTTGGGCTTTTTATTAAGCTCTGTAGACAGCGTTGAGAACAACAGATGTAAGATTTTGAATGGGGTTTCCAAAGCTTTATGCACCGCTGGCCCTTGAAAGACACAGGTGTGAATTGCATGGGTCCACTTATACATTTTTTTTTTCAATAAATATTGGAAAATTTTTTAGAGATTTGTAACAATTTGAAAAAATTCACAGATGAACTGCATAGCCTAGAAGTACTGAGAAAGGGAAAAATTAGTTATTATTCTAAGAATACAGTATATAATACATATAAGAATATGTTAATCAACTGTTTATGTTATTGGTAAGTCTTCTGGTTACAGATTATTAGTAGTTTAGTTTCAGGGAGGATTGAAAATTAGATGCAGACTTTTGATTGCACCCAACCCCTGCATTTTTCAAGGGTCAGCTATAGTTTAAAAAAAAAAACCTTCCCTATAAAATCTCTTTCCCCATAATCCTATGATTCTGTAATCAAACTAGTCCTCCTTGACATTATAGCAATATATTCAAAGAATAGTTGATAATACTGGACAGTGACTTGAAAGGAACTTAAGCAGTGTTTTTAAAAGTCAGGAGAAATTTGATGATGGTTACTGCTTTCCACTACAGAACATGAACCAATGTGTTTCTGAGTGGAGAAACTTTTCAACAGTATAGTAAAAATCCTCACTAAGGGGAAATCTCTCCCAAGGTATAGAGGTATAGAGGTATAGAGGATCCAGGCCCACATGCCAGATCATGGAAAACAAAATCCTGGGAACCAAAAATCTACTGTATGCCACATGGTTCAAGTTCAATTCCCCTGGAAATCACTCATCGTCTAATAGATGACTCATGCCCTCCCCTGTAAAGCTGTCCAAGTAAAATTCTCAGATGCAATAGAGTTGGAGGGATATCCATCTGATGTGAGATTTCTTGGGTTCAATCCCACCCTCTGTGACCTTGGGGCAGTCTCTCTGTGTCTCAGTTTTGTCCCATGTGAAATGGGGGATAATGATAGAACTTATAGGATTGTTGTAAAGATGACATGAGTTACTACCTGTGAAGTATTTAGGATAGTGCCTAGCACACAGTATTTAATAAATGCTAGCTATTACAACTGTTAGACATGGGACCAAGACATGAGAGGTATATGGTTTTCTCAGACCTTGAATCTGAAGACAGTTCAAGGTAGAGGGTAACAGGGACTATATAGTGCTCTGGGTCCAGTGGTTGGTTTCCTCAGGCAAATGGAAGTAAGCTAGAATCTCCAGCATAGGAAATTTATCTAATTTCCTGAAGCACATTCTATCCACAGCCTCTAGTCAGATAAAACTCCCTGCCAAGGAAGAGGTCTAGCCTTCCACTGTGACAATAAGCATCCGACAGAGAAAAACTTGCAACTTATCAATATAACACTGGGCGAGATTATCAGCTTGCCCAAAGAAAAGGAGACCAAAATTCTATCATTTTACAGGGCTGCTTTCAGCTTGAACCCATGAACTTTACAGGACGGTGGCTCATAACCAGGCCTTGGGGACTCACATTCCCTCAGACTGCCAGTGCGTGTCCTCTTCTATCCGTAGCAGTTCTTCACAGTCCTCAGCCCTATCCTGTGGACAGAACATACAGGTCTTCTCAGAGCCATTGGCTGTCAAGAGTCAACAGTCAAACCCTGCCTTAGTCCATGTCCACAGTAGCATTATTCTCAACTGCCAAAAGTGGGAAACAATCCAAGTGTCCATCTACAGACGAAAGGATAAGCAAAATGTGGTCTATACATACAACAGAATGTCACCCAGCCTTCAACAGGAAGGAAGTTCTGACACATGCCATAATGATGGTGAACCCGCAGGACATCCCGCTTAGTGAAGTCAGTCAGTCACCAGAAGCCAAAGACTGTAAGACTCCAGTTCTATGAGCTGCCTACAGGGGTCCCTCATAGAGACAGAAAGCAGAATGGTGGCTACCAGGGGTGAGGGGAGGAGGGAATGGGAAATTAAAGTTGAACAGGTACAGTGTTTTTGTTTGACAAGATGAAAAGAGTTCTGGAGATGGATGGTGGTGATTGTTGCACAACAATGTGAATGTACTCACCACAGAACTGCACACTTCAATATGGCAAGATGGTAAGTTTCATGTGCATGTATTTTACCACATTAAAAATAAAATTAAATAAAAAAAAAAAACCTGACCCAGGACCACAGCACCTGTTAACTTAGAGTCAGAAATGTATAGCTTAATTCTATTTCCTATTGCACTCGTAGCACCTCCAGACCTTCAGATGTCTCTGTTAGTTGGGCTCGTTGGTCACATGAGGAATACTGAACAGAAAATGCCTCAAATTGTATCTAATAATTTCATGTGTACCATACCCAGATTTCACTGAAATGTCCCCCCCCCCCCAACACACACACCATTATTATTCCAAATGTATGTGACGGGCTTAGTTAGCACAATGTGTCTCTCTGCTAAGACTTCCGTGTGCTTCTGTCCACTGTCAACTCTGACACAGAACTCTGCTGCCGTAACTCAGACTATAGCCAGCAAGGAGCCACCCCTGAATGGTGGTACGTTCCTTGGGCAAGGAAGAAACAACAGACACAAGGACTGACACATTGTTAACTAACTCAGACCCAGCCCATTCTCTAGATATATCACTGAGAAGAGTCTTCTTCTGAGGAAGTAGTTAGCACTGGATGCCAGCCTCTGGCTTAAAAAACACTCAGGCTTTCCTTTATTAATTATAGATACAGTGCATAGTAAAGTAAACACGAAATTCCTGTGTCACTATCCAAATAACAGTGAGATTCGTGGGTGAAAATATACTACCAGAAATGAGCAAAAGAACATGTTCTAATCTCTCTTTGTTGGGTTTCAACTACAGGAGCCATGCGTATTTCCTTCTAATTCTCAATGTCATAATAAAATAGCCAATAATATAAAATACCAATTTTTTTCAATATGCATAATAGGACTAATGGATTTTTCTTTTGCTAAGTTACAGGGTTATACCAGTTCATTCTCATTATTTGTGGGTTCCATTTTTATGAATTTATCTACTCACTAAAATTTATTTGTGAATGAATCAATAAATCAGGGATTCTGTAGAGCAGTGAAAACCTTGGGTCCGCAATGGGCATATGTTCCCAGATGAGGCAAAACAAAGCAATGCTTTGCCCTCTTACTGACCCAGCCCAGCAGCCATCCCAGCACCAATCTCAGGAAACAAGGACCTCACCCCTGCTTTACCATAGTAAGCCTGAGACCATCATCTCTCATGAATCTCAGTGAAAATGAATTTTATCCAATTACCCTTGTGATTCCTGGGGGCCACAATCTGAGCCAGAAGGACTGGCAGAAACACACCAATCATGTCTCAAAGTGGAACCTTCACTACCAGTGTTAGTACAGGGCTAGTGTTCTTCTACTCTCTGTGTCGCAACTGAGAGGAAGGGTCACCGGAGAACGCAGTGACTTCATCCAAACTTTCAACACCTCAGTGCAAGGATGAGAGCTCAGGAGTAAGTATCCTCAGAGTGACCTTCCCAGAAAGAGAAGACATCCGTTTCTAGATTTTCAGAGTCTCCACTTTTTTCTCTATACTACGGACATACTCCCAAGAAAAGCATTCACCTAGAATACATAGAAAAGAACGTGAAATTGTCTATTTTAGCTTTTAGTGCTGGTAATGCTGACCTGTCTGCTAACTTGTCATGCACTGAGAGGTGGAAAGCTAACTGATCACTGAATATAAAGGAAGTTGGGCACATTTACAGACACACGAGACGTATCACAGGGACCAGCTCCTAACGTCAGGAAATAGCCCACGCTTTGAGAAGATATTTTAGAAACCTGAGGAAACTGGCAGTAAGCTGACATTTAAGGTGATGGATTGGTAACCTTGAACTTAAATGTAAAGGCACCAAACAGAAAAAAATTTTTTAAAAATTAGCAGATTTTCAACTTGCCTTAATATAGGTTATAAATTCTGAATGGAGAACATCTGTTCCATCAGTAAATTGGTCTCTTTCTTCTCCTGAGTTGTCCTTGTCACCCAAAAGGGAAGGCTCTGGTTGAAATTCCTGATGAAAGTCCCCTATTAGGAAAATGTAGAGAAAGACAAAAAGATGGTTTCATGAAGAGATGAGCAAAGCACAGACGACCCTCATATACCATCAGACTACTTTCAGCCACTGATCTTGCTTCTTCTGGAGGTTTTATGAACGACCCAACTTGTCTCTTCCCTGAAGAGTGGGATGAAAAGATGAATGAAGGAAGAAAAAGAGAAAAAGAAATAGAAAGCTCCCTCAACCCCCATGACAAACTGGAAAGTCTAGGCCTCTCTATGGCTTCATCCCTTAAAGAAATGAAATCTCTTATAACTTTCTTAAGAAACAGAGGAAAACAAGTTTGAAAGAGGCAAAAAAAAAAAAAAAAAAAAGTTTGAAAGAGGCAAAAGGAACACCAAGCAGATCTCTTCTCCATGATCTGCAAACTGAAAAGAAGTGAGTAGGGCACCCTTTAAGGACTCCTACCCAGAATACCCACTTCTAGAACAGGGAGGAAAAAACTCACTGGTGACAAATTACATATTTCTTTTATTTTAAAAATTTGCCTGCACTACCTCGTAGACCAAGTCATGTTACATAGCTTATCCAAGTTAATAATATGGCAATTATGTTTTTGTATAGAGTATACAGTAATTTTCGGGGGGGGTAATGTATGGTTCCAATCAAAACTTCAGATACATGTAAATGCTAAACTTAAAAACCTGAAGGTAGAAAGTGAAAGCAAACACTAGACATTGATTTGGTTCACACGGCTTTCCCATCACTAATGAGAGCATTTTCAAAGATTTAGGGAGAAAATCCTCATGTTAATCTAGTTCTATACTGTTCATATATCATGAAGTCATCTCTGCCACAAATCATTAAACACTAAATTTTAGTATTTTCTATAAAAGTCATTGAATAAACAGGAGCAATAAAAAAAAAAAAGAAATACTGCCCTAATATAATCAAATGAGGGCTCCTCACCAAGATATGAAATACACTGCTAGGATTTTCAAGGTATATAAGTCATAAAGTACTTAGTGATCACTTGGTGATTATTAGAGAACCACAGAATTTGACAGCTACTGAAGATCTTACGTATTAATTAATCTAATCACCTCACTTATAGGTAAAAGAACTAAGGTCATTTGTCTTGTCCAAAGTCAAGTGTATTCCTGGGCACACATCTCAACTACATTTCCATCTTCATGTGTAAGAGATGTGGCCATGTATCCAGGCCTACCTTGTAAGTGATGGGCACTTCTAGGCTCAGTCTGCTAAAAACCTCCTGTGAGCAAGCTTCCGTGCTTGGCCAGCTTCTGCCTTAAAACAGGACTTGGAAAATTTGGAAATCTTGTTTCAGATGGTGGAGTCACAACATGAAAGAAGTCTGGGCCTTTGAATCATTGCTTGCAGGGGAGTTGCCTTTCAATGATGAACTCCCATGCAGACTCGATTTGTACTGTGTTAAGCCAATGAGATTCGGGATTTTATGTGCTACAACCACTGATGTTTCCTAATATATCTATATGTCAGTATGTGCTTTCCAAGAATGGATTTAAAGACTGTTATAAAATCTTCACAATGAGAACCACTCTACTACTTACTAGCTGTGTGATCACTGGCAAGTTAAAATCTCTGAGCCTTGGTTCCCTCACCTATAAAATGGAGACAATTAGAATATACATCTCAGAGTTCTGAACTTTAAATGAGGTCACCTTCACAGATGAGCACAGAGCCTGGTGCGCAGGAAACGCTCAATAAACTTAAGCTAATACCATAGCCCTATTTGTGTAGATTATAAACAGAGTATTTGAAACTTAAAACAAGCATTTTTCTCCCCATCTTTCATTCTCACACCTTTAACGGGGCTAAGGCGATGGCACGAGTCCTCCTTGATGACCTGTTCTTCTTCCATGATATTTGACATTGGCACATTGAGGCTAACAGTGTCTTCATCAGAAGGCTAAAAAGAAACAGTGCACTGCTTCATTCAAGAGACAAGCATTATCAATGTAGATTAAGAGAATGCTATGTGATTAAAAAAAATACTGTTGATTCTCAAAAACATAATATTGAGTAAAAAAAAAGAGATACAAAGAACCATTCCACTTACATAAGTTCAAATCCCAGCAAAAACTAATCCATGCTATTTGAGGACTCTGACTGCTCTTGGCTTGCATGGTGGATGCATGCGTGGGCTTTCTGAGGTGCTAGTAAAGCTCTGTTTCTTGCACTGTCGGCTGGCAATGTGGGTGTGTTCACTTTGACAAAATTCATTGAGCTAACACTCAAGTGTTTCTCTGTACATATGTTTTGAGCCGAAAATTTGTCAGGTACCTGATGGCATTGCCAACCTAAGAGCAACGGTCAGAGCACTAAGAAGGACTATGTTTTCCCTGATGGAATGAAGGAGTAACTGAATATACTATCACACTAGCCCGAGGACTGATACTCTGAGACTGGAAGACAACACCAATTTCCCAAAACTGCATTAAGGTTTCATGGTGCTTGTCACAAACAGCAGGCAATGATTTATTCACAGGGCAACAGTAAACTCCAGTTGATTTCCCTGTGGGAGACTGAGGGATACACAGGCCTTTGGGCTGCGTCAGATATATAAAAGTGCTGAATGACCATAGGGCTTAAAAGGACATGTGTTCTGCGCAATTTTCAGAATAAGGCTTTGATCTGGTAATCAAAGTGAGTTGTCTCAGGGGTGCTTGTTTTCCACACTAGCTGATGAAGTTTATTCAGATAATCTACGATTCTGTCACGAATGAAATCTGGAGCTTCCTTTATTTTCCTATGTCTCCGTTTTCATGTTGCTATTTAGTGAGCTTTCCAAATCCCAGGGATCCTGAACCTCCCCAGAACGCATTTCAGGGAATCGTGGCCTGCTCCTAATTCTTGAAGCCGTGGCTTTCAGTGTCCGGTGTTCGTTTACTTTTGGACACGTGCACAAACTGTGTGGAAACTGACACAAAACAAGTGTGCATTTCATCTACTCAACAGATATTCAGCCGCCAATTTTTTTGTTCATGTTTATCTTGACAAAAATATGTTTTAAATTTCTTGGAGACAAACACTAAATCAATCAGACAAGGGCAGCAGCCAAAGAAAGGGAATGAGATGTGCTTTCTGAACGCCACAGTGAAACAGAAGTGGGGAGCCAGAGAAACTGACCATAGATGCTAACGGATTTGCCAAAGTGAAAACAGAAAGCTATATTGGATAATTCAGCGCCCTTTTCTTTCTGAAAAACAAATTGCTTGGAGGGGTTCTCAGGTAAGGAGGCTACAATGTGAGACCAAAAAAAGGCCAAAGGGAAGATGCTGGCACTGATTCTGTTGGATAGAACCCTTTTTATAGTCCTTCTTCCCACTCTCCTCCCATCTTAAAATCGTAGCAAAATTCCAAAGATAATGCATCTAGTTAAAAGGGAGGGAATAAACCCTTGACCTCCTTCTAGAATGGTATTAGCATCCTACTTGTATTAAGTGAGAACAAAAGGATAATGAAGTTCTTTGTGTGATATTTTATTAACGAACTTAATTATCCTTAAAAAACAGATAAAGGATAAAGCAGAGTCTGTTTTAATTTCATAGAAAATAAGCTTAGGGTGAGTAATTTCTGAAACAATGGGACATTTCAGGGGACTTATGAGTTTTAATAAAACTAAGGGGGCTGAATTAAACACGACTTATAAAGCAATGTGTTGAGTAATTTCTCCCCCAGGGAGTCCCAGTAAACTATTCATGTGGCTTCATGAGAGCTATTTTCTTTTATTGAAATTGGCCTTCTTTTTCTGCCTATAAGCTCCTTTTGAAATGTTCTGTGTTAGAAAGTTTTTTCTTAAATTTACCTTAAAATCTTTAGGGTATTCTAACTTTAATACACTGCTTTATAAAGCATTTCCTAGGAAATAAATGCAAATATCTTAGCTACATATTAACCCTCGAAGACCTGAAGAGAAGAGAGAAAAGGCATTTTTCTTGGGAGTCACACACAGTACAAATGTGAACTCCTTAAATGGGGTAACTGACTTATTAATTACATCTTCAAAGTAGTATAATGTTTCAAAACTTAATAACCACAAAACTCAAGAAATTTCCTCAGAAGGGAAGCCATAATACATCCATCCCCTGCCCCAGCCATTTCTTCTAGCTCCCCTGCTCAAGAAACTCCATTTAATGGTATATCAGTGAAAGGTTTGGGGGAATCTAATTATAAGCGAGATAAATGCACTAAATGAGCTATTTATAACCACTTCAGGAAGCTCTAGTGTGGGAGGCCTCTGAGCTTACAAGTAACCCAACTTTTATCCAGTTGTCTGAAAAGAGCACAATCGAAAAGTTTCAGGAAAACAAATATTGCTGTAAAAATTATGGCTACTCAAAATGGCATTTCCTGTGGGTAAACTGCTAAAATGCAATGCACATTTGACTCTTTAACATTCACGCATGCAAATAACTTTTTTCCTAAATTATTCTGTCACTTAGAAACAAATGCTTTTATAAAAATGCCTCCTGGGTACTTGCATGCCACTCTTCATCATTTCATAATATGTGTGAAACATTCAAGAACATTCTAGGTAATGTAAGGAGTGTTGTGGGAGGGGGAGGGGATAGGGACATTTACAAAATATTAAATATGCAGCAAAATCTAAAAACAGCTCCTATTTATATAACGCTTGGAGGGATTTCAAATTGTCTTCATGAACATAATCACACATTCTCACACAGATGCATTAATGCCCTTTACCGCAGAGGGGTTTAGGAACAGGCAGATAAATCTATCTCAGAAAGGACAAAAAAGCTAATCACAAACTTTACCTCTGTGGCAGATAAACGCTTATCTCCATTATCACTTCCAACACCCGAATCCGAATCCTTCTTGCTGGGATAGATGTCATCAGTATGGAATCCATTTAGAAAAAAATTGAAATCACAAAGTTCACAACAAGATACATTAATTTATATTCAAATAATGACTTTTGCTATACAAATTTATTATTACCATAAGACAACAAATCAGCCCAATATTAAAGGAGGGCCTAATAATCAGGAAGTCTTTCTAAACAGGGGACAAGATAAATTCTTTGTGTTTACTGTTACTCTTTAAGTAGTCTGTTCTTGAAACGGTTAAAAATTTTCTTATCTTGTGAATTCTACTGTCTAAAAAAGCAAAAACTGCCTAATTGCTTTTATCTTTTATAAGAGGTTTTTGCCTCTTATGTGGTTACTCTCAATAATTATGTAAGCTTTTATCCAGTGACTAAACAAATTTGATGTGTATAAAACTAAAATAATGATTACATATTTTAAGTGTTATATAAAGGTATCTTTAGAGTAGGCTGAGATTCTAAGTCACCATGTTTTTGTTTTTTAAAGATTTTATTTATTTATTTGACAGAGATCACAAGTAGGCAGAGAAGCAGGCAAAGAGAAGAGGAAGCAGGCTCCCTGCTGAGCAGAGAGCCCGAATCCCCAGGACTTTGGGATTATAACCTGAGCTGAAGGCAGAGGCTTTAACCCACTAGGTCACCCAGGTGCCCCAAGTCACCATGTTTTTCAGTAGAGAGTTAAGCAAAGGTCTCTGCAGTAAAGACCTCTCAAAACAATGTGTTTCTATACATGTGTCCAGTGTGGGAATTTTGCTCTTTGAAAATTCAAGGCCCAAATTATGCCACAAAAGGCCAAGGGCATGTGAAAGGATTCTAACCCTTCCGTTCCAAAAAGGAAATGGCAAAAATTATGCACACTGCATTTCTAAAAGACAATTACAAAACAAAACCTGCAGTTTTTCTTAACAATGTTCTGGAGGCAGATGAAAAATTAATAATTAAAAAGACATGCCTGAGCTTGATACGGTAGTTTTACCTGGTAAGTCAAAAATACCTGTATTTATATTATAGATTACATTTATAAGGAGATATATGTGTGCATATAACATACATGTGTATACATACATATATACACACGCACACACAGTATTCAGGAAAGACGATTATTGATTAGAATAGGGAAAACAAGATTAGCAAGATGTTGAAAGGTTACCAACAGCACCAATTTCCTCTCTCTTATTCCAAAGTGTTAAAACACTTGAGTTATAAATCTGCATTGGTTAAGGGATGCAAAGGAATTTTTGGAGTTACCAACCTGGCGTGCCTTGGCCTAAGCAAATTCTAAATGGGGGCTTTGAGTGACTGCAGTCACACTCACCTGTCTTCCACGTGCTGGTGTAAATGTGGCCTCTCCATCGTGTGGAGATAAAGGGAGTCGGTTGTCTTAATCTGACATGCTTGTATACTCAGATACTTGAATATGTGCACTTTGCCCTTTGTGCAAATCTACGGAGAAATTAATAATACATATTTGTTTTCCAATGGCGAAACAAAATGTAAACACTAGACCTGTGACTCTGTATATTTTCATTTTTGCGTTTTCATTTTAAGTAACACTTCAACAATACGCACCAAATTTGAGAATTTAAATCTCCAAAAGTTACATTTTAATCTCCAAAACATATAAGAATTTAGGCAATCATGTCTTCTAGATTCCTCTTTGAATAGAAAGCCATCCTAACAGAAATGTGTCAAAGTCTAAACAGTGTAAAAAAGTAGAGAAGCCAAATCCCTGACAGAGTAACATTCCAATTCTGGAAGTATTCGATTTGTTCACACAGTTTAACAGCTGAACCTGGACCTTCTCTCTAAATAACCAATGATCGTGTGTGAAATGTTTAAACCCCGTTTCTCAGCTCACATGAAAGTGAGGAATATATTACTCCACTGGTAAGCCATACACCCCATGAAGGAGTTTCCAATGTGTGTCCAAATGCTAACCCACTCAAACCTTTAATTCTAGGATTGCAGTGATCAGAACAGGGAGTCAAAGGCCGGTAAACAGATTCAATGTAGCAGAAGACACCTTCCTGTGGTCAGATTCACCCAAGGTTTCATCTTTCAGAGGTTGTGATCATGTCCAAACCAATATTAATTCAGCAGAATATCCAAGGCCCAGCCCTGCTGGGAGTTGCCCACGCGCTACTGAGAGCGCTCCCTCACCTGCGCTGGAGGAGACTGCAAAGGGTTGTTCTCAAGCAGTAACACTTGCAGCTGTTTCATCTCTCTAAAACAAATGGGAATCACGAGCACTTTATTGCAGGAAAAGTCAAACTTTACCAAGGGAAGATCTACTAGTTCTAAAGAACAGGGAAAAGAAAAAAGAAAAAAAAAAAAAAAAGAAAAAGAACAAATTCAGAAAGCAACAAGATTATGTGGCTAAACATTCAAAAACTCATTCTCTGCTTACCAGGAAAAACATCAGTTAGCATGATCAAAGCAAGTTATGTGCCAGGAATGTGGTATGCATATAACATATTTTACTAAAGGGGAGGGGGAAATCTTTCATCGGGAGAGCAATAATTTTAAATTGTTGTGAGTTCTGACAAGGGCTAGAAACACTCTTGACATTTACAATATCTATTGTTTAGAAAGGCCTTTCTTCCAGCAAAATAATCACATAAGCCATACCACATAGGACATATTTATGTTTTAACTTCAATTGTGAGCTTATGAACAATGAGCTAATCATAAAATATTCTTATCTAGTCAACGTATCTGGTTACAAGAAATATGCTCATGGTTTTTTAAATTTCACGTTAAGAACTAATTGCTATCTAATTCGGAGTGTTGCCGTGGACCCTGTAATTCCAATTTGATGAGGCTCAACTCTACTGCTTTTTCACCGTCTTCTGCAACTCCACAAACAAGACAGAACATTATATTTAGCTTAAAGTCCCCACCCAGTGGCATAGTAAACACTCAGTAATTTCAAGCATTCCAACCGACATTGGCAGCTGCAAGGAACAAAGTCAAATATGTTCCATGGAGCAAAGGGGCTGAGCAACACCAGACATGTAGGGTGACACAGGGCAAAGCGCTAAGATCTGTGCGTCAGACACTTGGGCGGGTTCATGTCAGAAGGGTCCACAGCGTGTTTATTACAGGACGTGGGAAAGGTGAAATACAGGGCTTTCGAAGACGCAAGGAGCTCTGAAGCGGAGGACAGGCAGACATGATATAAAGGGACCTGCAGAGAGAATTCCCACAATTCCTCCCCTCTCCCTCGTATGCCTGAGGGTTGTCACTGGACTCGCTGTGCTACTTCAGGTTCCACAAACAAAGATGCTCTTAGCAACCGGTATCTCTTCTCCTGTTCACCTGGCTCTGGGCCTCTGGGTGTGTAAGGGACTTTCCTTGTTTCATGCCTTAGTGAATTACTTCGTATTAAAAAAATGGAGTCAAGCGGACTCAAGTGCTGGAAGAGAGGCCAAAGAGCATCCAATTTGGCAGGTCCCAAGCTCACCTCTGTGTCAACTACCCTGAGTAGATCACTGCCCAAACCCAATCTCCACCCTCCGCCCCCAAGAGCAGGGCAGATGACGTGCCCCGCTCCCTGCTCCTCTCGGACACTGCCTTGATGAAGGCTCTGTGAGCGGCGGCAGGTGAAGGAGAGAGAGAGGAAGGGAACCCGGACAACAGCATGGAATCTAGAAAGTGATTCTTTCCTTCCCAAAGGAAAAGGGAAAGTAAGATCCCTCTCACTTCGTAGTTTATTTCTAAAACAGGACTAAGGCTTACAGGGATTTATATAGGAGAGGAAGATCGCCTTGCGGTAACCTTTAGTGATATTAATCCATCTCTGAGACTGTTAATTTTACTCACTAAACTTAGGTTGGCAAATTCGTGGTATGGCTGTCCATACCAAAATTTAACTGGACTCCAGATCTTTAGCAAGTCTTTGCTGCTAAAGATGAAGACCTTTAAGCAAGACTGAGGGTTAGTTCCTGGCGGTCGTACCAGGAAGGGGAGGAGAGGCAACTTAAATAAGGTAAATAAAGTAAGAATGGTTTTTATAATGATTATTCCCGTTAATTGCAGTTTGGAACACAATTACCATCTTAGTTTGGGAAAATGAGAGCCTGGCAGTTTCATAACAAGAAAATGGGGTGGGGGTCAGGGGGAACGGTGATGATAACTCCAGCCCAGGAATGGTGAAAAGAAACACTGCAGGAAAAGGGAGAAGAAAAAGAAAATCTAAGGGATCTTCTGTTGCAAAGAAGGTCAATGACTGGCTCCTTTAATCTTAACTCTGTCCATTCTGGTCCTAGAAAAAACAAAATATGGTCTCCTCATTGCAGTATTTATAGTAAAACCACCACAAAATTGATATGGGTAATTAGGCCACAGACTTGTTCTCCCTTCTCAGATTGAAAGCATATGGGGAGGGGTACTCACAGAGTAAAAACAAGTAAATATGGAAAGTCTTTAAATTCACTGCCTGAAAGCACTATCAATGCTCTTTTGTTAATAGAGTTCTCTAGAGTGAAGCAAAAAAGAAACTTGATATTCAGGAAGTTATTAAAAAAAAAGATTTTTCTAGTAAACTTAAGTTTTAGTTTTGAATAAATTTTAAAAATATTAAACCTGAGAAAACACAATTATAAAAAGGATAGAAATGGTGTAACTGATCTTTTTAAGAGAAAGGAATGCTCTTAAGGTAAGAGTATAAGGAGTGTTGAGAGAAAAGAAAAACTTCGGTTTGCAGACACACCATTGACACGTTTCCAAATATTATAGGCATCGATGAAATGACTCTACTACATTTTTCCTTTGAAAATGAGAATTTGATGATCTGTAATGATTTTTCAATGATTAGCATGAGGGCTACAATTAGAGGCTAGTTTTCTTTAATGTCACAAAATGTTTAAATGCTTACAAATGTGTAGTTAGTAAGAGTGTTTCCCTTTTGTACTTGCTCAAACCAAGAAAAACCATTTCCATTCAAAATGGGTTAACCAATGACAGAATGAAAAAAATCCTTGTTTTCGTACCAAATTATCTCAAGTAATAAATTAATACAACCTTGTGCTGTGAGAGTTTCTAATTCTACTTCTTTAAAAGGCTGGTCAGTGCAGGAAAGGCGACGGATGGCAGGTAGCCACTCAAACCTCCCATCTATAAAGCACACTGCATTTTATAAAGTTCTTTCCTTTCCATGAGCTTCATCTGCTTGCCTTCAGGCCAAAGATCAAGATGCAGGAAGAGAATAATAAAAATCAGGCAGTTCTCAACTAGCTGCCGTTGTATCACATTAACCAAATGCTTTCGTTCTTGTTTCCAAATATGTGCTTTTGCTCTGAGGTATATTTTTAAATATATATTTGAAACCCGGTATGCCTAGTGGCCCTAAAAAACAGATGGAAATCAATGCAATCTTTGAAAATGAGAATACGTGTTTAGGAAAGCATTCAATATTTTACGGCTCATCAACTCATTCTGATTCAGGTCTGAACAAGAATCCCCAAAATAGGCAATTCAGATCCACCACCATCTACAAAGCTGCTAGTCAAGGTTCTGAAGGGTGCACACTTTCTGAAGAAATGCATCTTTTTCTTTGAACTCAGAGACGAAGTATCAGAGAATTTACTGTAGAAGCCCACAGGTGCAGGGAAGGGTCTGCCTGAGGTTGGCTCCTGAGCAGGGAGGTCCTGAGGGGGCAACCAGTCTCACCGCTGAGGTTCTGGGGGATCCCTGCTTCTGGCCTTTGGGAGACTCACCAAAACTACCAGTGACATTCGTCCAAGGACCACTCAGCAGGGCTAGTACCTGAAGCATAGGGGGTGGCTCCCAACCAGGGTCACCAGGTGTCCAAAGCCAGAAGTCCTAACAGCTGGGTCTACAAGACCAAGCACATCACCTACAGTGTTAGCTCGATGTTCCAAAACATCACACATCCATACCAAAACAATTCATGTCGCCTCCTGTTATGAGCTGAATCTTGTGTCCCCAGTTTTCCTATGTTGTTGGAGTCCTAACTCCCAGGACCTCAGAATGTGACTGTGTCTGGAGATAAGGCCTTCAAAGGAGTCATCAGGTTAAAAGGAGGTAATTTGAGTGGGTCCTAACCCAATACGACTGTTATAAGAGGAGAGGATTAGGACAGAGACACAAAAGGAGGATGCTGTAAGGACAGAGGGAGAAGCGAGCCATCTGTAAGCCGAGGACAGAAGCCTCAGAAGACACCTTGTTCTTAGATTACTGCCTCCAGAATTGTGAGAAAATAAATTTCTGATGTTCAAGCCACTCAATCTGTAATACTTTGTTACGTGAGCCCGAGCAAACCAACATGCACACACAGCCTTAAACAGGAGAATGATTGCATTGCTGTACTCCTTGAGGAAAATTAAAAGTTGAATATTAACTTTTCTGTTACCTGCATGTGAAATTCATATAATTCATATTCATACAATTAATAATTAATATCATTAGGCATACACAAACATGACTAGACAAACTACCTTCTTCACATAAGTGAACAAAAAGCAAACAAAAAAGAATAAGCATCTCCTGGTTTATTCTTTTTTACCTTGTGGTAAAACTTTAAGGTAATTTCTTCTGACATTCAGTTCCCGTAGAGATTTCAACTGACCTATCTGCTGGGGCAAGGCTGTGATCTCGTTGCAGCTGACATCCTGCACCAAAAGCAAAGGCAGAAATGATAAACACCCTTTTCCAGGAAATCAAACATTTCACGTGAAAACTTCTTAAGGAATTTACACATAAGGACAACTATTCAAGGACCTTTTTATCTTGGTCAGTACATCCCTGGCCAAGTAAGGCTTAGCATGGAACAGAAAAAGAAAGTGTACCATTTTGAACATCCTCTGAGGAGAAAAAAGAGGAGAAAGGAAGGATGTGTGGAGTATTTGGGCTATTCTGAGGGCCTCGTGTCTGCTGTGCTCATGGGCTTCAACCTCCTAATTCTCATGACGGACCCATGAGGCAGCATTCACAGCTTAACATTTACAGTCAGAAAAACGAGGCTCACGGAGGTTACGTCAGGTGTCCAAGGCAGTCAACACTTAGAACGAGTGCCTGCCCACTGTTAAGCCACTATCCCACAGTGCCTTGAAATAGAAGGTTACATATCCTACTTACCAAACACATTTTACAGTGAGAAACTATGACTATCAATGCATCTTTTGGATGCACCATTTAGGTAAAATGGAGCTCTTACAGGAAGGCTGGGAACTTGATGGACCTAAAAACCTTTAAGTACATTTTACAATCAAGACTGTGGGGCATGTGGATGTCATCTTTTTTTATACTGAAATGCTAATATCCCATTGATCGTTGATTGGAACCACCTCTCGACACAGGCAAAATGAAAGTCACGACATTTACAATCTGCTTATTCTCTCCCTCCATCCCGCTCTTCCTCCTTCTCTGGAAGCTCTGCTCTGTTCTTCCCCACCTCACCCCAGCTACTCTCCAGTCCAGAGCCACACTCCCTCTCCTGGGACACTATAATGGTCTCTTTGATTGGTTCCTTACACCGGTCTGCTGCCCAGACCCATCTTTCCCAGAGCTACCAGAGTGTGCATTTCACTATGTCATTTACCAGCTCAGACATTTGCAACAGCTCCCATGAAACCCACCAAACTCTGCGGCAGGGCCCAGCAACCACGGTTCAGGTCTGCTTCTCCACCACCATCCGTCTGAAAGCCTTCCCTTGCATCCTCAAGCCATGTCCTTACCAACTGCTGTCGCCAGCGCATGCCCTGGTATTTCACAGTCCCAAACCTATTCAGGCTCCTCCCTGTCTGGTGTGCCATTTCCCAATAGTGTTCTCTTGTCTCACCTATATCTTCCAAGATTTAATTCAAGGATCACTCCTCTCTGAGATCTCTTACCACCCCCCCTACCCCTGCCAAACTAACACCCAGGCAGAATGACCAATTTTTCCTCTGTGGCCCTATGCATAATCTATCACTGTATTCATATGCTCACACATTTGCGTTCTCTTATGAGCCTGTGAGGTCCTAGAGGGAAGATACTGGGTCTTATTCACTCCATCTTCCTGGTGCCAAGCAGAATGCCAGGTATGAAGTAATGGATCAATAAATAATGGATGAAATTTCTAAAGTCCATTTCTGTTGACACTCTCACTCTGCCTCACGGCTGGAACCCCAGGGTGCTCCAACGTAAAACACTGATCCCTTGCAGGTCCTGCTTGAAAGGGTAGAATCACAGATATACTTGGGCTAGGTTTGATCCCATTGAGACTGAGTCTTTAAATTCCCCCACATCACTTCTGAACCTACAACCCCCACCCTTTCACAAGGCAGCAAAGCAGTTTCACATTCACTCAGAGGAGAACTCACCATGGACCCAATCCCAGCAACCCCAGGGCTCCGTGTAAGAGCAGGACTGTGCAGGACAAAGGGGATCGCTGGCCTCTTATCCCTTCTCATCTGAAAATCCTCAGGTGACCTGCCAATCTGGAAGGTCACAAGGCTGCCAACTGAGTATCACTTGCCAAAGAGGACTAAAACCACTCCGGCTAGCAGGAAGGAAGAAGCCCTCCGCAGAGACTGAGTCTACTACACAGCTCGATCAGCCGCGGTGCTGCTCTGAGCTCCATGTCCGACCGAGGCGAGGCGGCGTGTGACAGGCTCACAGTGTTGGGTGTGCAAGGGCATCACCCCCAGGCTGGCTGTGGATGCAACCCTCCTGGCCCAGAAAAGTCACAGGGAATTCCATGAAAAAATCCCTAGCGTTTAAAAACAAAAACCCACGAGTACATCTGCAGAGAAATAAGAGTCGGAGGAAGGAATTACAGAATTAAAAGGTCCAGAGATGTGTTCAGTCACTGAGCCTCTCACCGAGTCAGTAAATAATTCTGTGTCTCCGCATATACTTCCATATACCAGAAGGAGAAAGTGAAATGCTACCTTTTCCCGATGATGGCGGCATCTGATCAGTCACAGATACCCACAACCAAATCTTTTCAAAGAAACCTTTATCTTTCTGTCAGCCAAGTCACAGATAAGCAAGAAGTACCATTCTATTCTCTTTGAGAAGAGCCCTCACATAAAGGGTACACAGGTAAGCGCTAGGAATGTATGACAGTGAATCATTCTATTGGACTTGCAGGCAGGCACAGTCACACTAGTGATGGCTGGCAGGAAGGAGGGGTTCGTGAGGCAAGAAACAGTGGGAATTTTCCATCTCTCTAGAGAAGTTATGTTATTGACATCTATAGTAAGTTTTTATAAGTCTGTGAGGGACCACATGAGAAAGACCCTTTTTGCAGTTTATGGTAATCAAATTTTTTTATATGAAACTGACAATTTTCAGAAGTTTCAAGAACAGAATTTTTTTTTTTAAAGATTTTATTTATTTATTTGACAGAGAGACACAGAGAGAGAGGGAACACAAGCAGGGGGAGTGGAAGAGGGAGAAGCAAGGTTCCTACCAAGCAGGGAGCCCCATGCAGGGCTCGATCCCAGGACCCTGGGCTCATGACCTGAGCCAAAGGCAGATGCTTAATGACTGAGCCACCCAGGCACCCCAAAAGGACAGAATTCCTTAAAACATCATTCTTTTATTATTTATTTTGAAGGAGGAGGGGCAGCAGGAGAATCCCAAGCAGACTCCCTGTTGAGCATGGAGCCTGACACGGGGCTCGATCCCAAGACCTGGAGACCACAACCTGAGCCTAAATCAAGATTCAGATACTCAACCAATGAGCCGTGCAGGTGCTCCCAAAAAATCGCTCTTTAAAAAAAAAGGAGGGTAGAGGGAAACAGAGATAACAGATATATTTAGGCAATTTACGGCATAAAGTCTCATTCAGTCTTATCCTATTTTGGCGGGGTACTATATTCACCTTGCATTTTGTTGGTTACCCTCTGGTTAGCCAGAAAGGGTATGCCTGTTTCCCTAAATATAAGGTAGTTTTTTTTTCTAACATGTATTTCTAACATAATGGCTTTATCAAGGAAAACCAACCTCCTTCAGCTATATTTAAATGCTTACTTACTAGTAAAGAAAGCCGTTACCCAATTCACACTTAAAAAAAAAAAAACAAAACATAATGATAAAGAGTTTTTCCTTCTGACCTACAGGATAGGACATCTGTAGACAATTAGAAACACAAAGTCCAATTGTCCATTTACATTTAGAAGGGTGTATAGTGAAGGTCAAATTATTTTAATAGTACTCTGCTGTCAGTAATTTCCTGTCCTGCCAAAATAATGAGGGGGGAAATGCCCAGGCAGATTTAGCATGAAAGCAAGGTAAAGACTTTTCACTATTGTATAATCAATATTGTAGAAACTATGCGAAACTCTATTGCCCCCCAGTTACTGAAACTTGCTAAATTTTAAAGAGCTATGAATTTCATCACAAAAATAAAAAAACTCCATGTCTTAATTAGCCGGGGAATGAGGAGGAGGAAAGAGAAGATAATAGTCTAAATGCTCTGGGTAAGATGTTTCAGTTCAGAACATGAAAAAATAATATTCTTAGAATGGTCTGGTTCTCTAGAACATGTCTGTCCACATTTAGCCTAAGGTATGTTTTTTAAAATGCGGAGTTCATTTAAAAAAGATAACATTTAGGAAAGTAAATTTAATAAATATATAACACCAATGCCTCATACTTTAGTGAGAATTTGCCAAGCTATGAATTCCAGATTCAGTGGCTTCTTAGAAGAGCCAAATGAATCCCTTCTGAATTTTCTATTAGCCCCTAAGCTATAACTCAGAAAATACTTATTACAAGCTTCAGTGAATCAGATTATCATATATTTACTGTTATAATATTGCAAATGTATAGGCAAGCCAAAAATAAATCATAAGGATGTCATAAATATTTACTAATTCTATTCTTTTTTATACAGAAATGAATCTAATTATTAAATGTTAAATTAATACTCACACTTCAGTTTTTATGGACCAGCCAGTCTAATTTAGTCATTGAGATAAAAAAAACAAAATGGAGAATTTTAACTATGACTTAAATATACTTTTTTCTCACTGGTTTAATCAACATGGTTTTGGGTAACCGAAGGAAAAACTTCAGAGTCATTTCATGCCAGCCCTTCCAGGCAATAAAGGAAGTCTCTAGAAGTCTTTAATGCACATTGGAAACTAATATATTTTTGTTATTAAGTGCTAGTTGTTAATTTACCCTCCAGGATGCAAAAATGACAAGGATTTAAAACACCAGATTAATTTGGATTATTAAGCTAGGTAATGTTCACTTTCAGAAAATAATACTAAAAAAAAGGGGGGGGGAGTGTTTTTTTTTTAAGGACTAACCTCTAACGAAAACCAACACAACTGCTGCATACCGGGTCAAGATGGTCTTGGTTAGAAAAGCTATCCAGTGAGACCGGGCCACCCTGTGGAAATGCATGTGGTATTCTCATGAGCTACCTTGCTCTGACTCTCTGGCTTTCAAAAACCTAGTATGGTTATAAAATTGCTGAAGTCGTATTTTTGTAATCAATGTAACTCTTTATTTAACTGAAGGAAATGCAAACATTCTGACAGGAAATTCAAGCTATTAGCTCCCATAATGGGATCATGTTGTTTTGGGGGGGAATGTCTGTTGTGTGATTCACTGTGTAACTTAAGGTAAATGTCTTAACCTCTCTGTGCCTATGTAACAAGAAGTGGCAAAG